ACTAACGATAAGTATTATAATTTACGTATAATAGTATAGTTATGTGTAATTATTACTCAGAATTGACAATTGACTAGTCATAATATTGTTATATTTCGACACGAGTAATTCCATAATGTATACTATGCATAAAAATATACGGTACGTTCGTTGATTTGTTGGACAGGCCTACAATTGAACAAAATGGGGCCATCTGGTGAGCAGAGTTTCCGAAATTGAGCGACCTGTAATGAAAATTGATACCAGCAATTATGTGAAAATTGTAAAGATATACTCGAATAATATGCATTATGAAGTATCATTTTACTTGAGACGGTGATATAGCGATTGGTTCGGGGTACAAGATCCACGTAACGATTTCACTGCAAGGTGGTTGAGTGAACGAACCGCTATAGGTATAATAGTCCTTCTGGAAAGTCGGGAAAATCCATATCAATGGAAAGGGTGGAACGTATACCTTTGCTCCCGGTTGAATAATTCGCCACAAATTTGTCACTATGTGATCCAAATAAGGATTGTCCGCGTTTGTAATCTATAAGTGTTACAAATTTGTCAATAGATCTGTCAATTGGGCATGAAAATGGTTTAAAATTATTTTAAACAGTTTAAAACAGTATGTTGTGAATCGCATCCAAGATAAAATGAATGAAACTAATACTAATAATAACTAATAATAATACTAATAATACTAATAATAACTTGTAATAATTAATTAAGAATTTTAATTGTTAGTAGTGATGCAAATTTTTATATGTAAATTTTCTTCATTTAATAATTTTGATTTGATCCAATTTTAATTAAATTCAATTCGAGCAAAGTGAAAATATCGATTAGAGTGTAAGGTTCAGTGATACAAGTAAGTAATAAAGCGCTGGAACGTCAGTAGTGTAAGTAAGTAATAAAGTCCTTAGTGTCAGTAGCCCAGGAAAATAATAAAGCCATCGGTTAATGTACTTATATCTTGAAGTCATTTCACATGAAATATTTTATAGTTATTAACTTTTACTATGAATTGAATATTTGTGCCTGTTGCTTTACATAGTAAAACATTACTTACAGGTTTTTAATTTTTGAATTGCTGTAAAAATTTTGTTATAACAAATGTGCACTTTTAAATAATATGCAAGATACATTAAGTATTGTAATATAAAAATAAATAAAAGGCCTATTTAATATGAACTCCCAAACATTTCTTCTATTTTTCATTAAATCATTAATATCACAATATCAATTGCAGTATCACTATTAATATCATTAATAATATCACAATATTATTATTATCAATTATTAATTTATACTGTCAATTATTAATATCATCTGTATGTACATGAAATTTTATTTTATCGCTTTTGTTTTGTATATTTCATTTTTATATTTATATTTCCTCTATTTTACATTTTTCTTTTTTGGATAAAATTTGGACAAAATATTTCAAATATATAATTATATAGGTAACTAACTAGTAAGAGGTATATATACATCTATATTTTTCATTTTTGAAGCTTTCAAAAAATTTCGATAAAACTTAACCTGAAAAAAGAACGAAACGATCAATATGCCGTCGTTCTCTTTAGCTTCAATTGCTTCCAATAGTGAATTAAAGCCTCGTTTTATGTGCCACACTTGCAGTTCCATAGGGTATCGGACATAATCTAAAGTGTGCTCGCTGCCTTCCTCATGCGATTGGCCCCAATGAAACACCATAGAGCAGAGGTCGTAAATGTTAGTCAAACATCCACCTTGAATGTATGGTCGATTCAAACTGCTCCACACTGTATTTATTATCACTAGAAGATAAATCAACGTTTTTAAAAGCATGAGTAATTACGATGTATTTTCAACACGTTGACTGCCATAGTGATCATTAGTGACTGGCGATATTAATTTTTCAAATTTATATTTGTTTTATTCTAACCAATTTTTGAGTATTTCAATAACATAAATAAATAGAGAACTTTGAATAGAAAACATTAATAACTTTCACTGTTTCTTTTTTGTCATATTATTTGATAATTCGTTATTAAATCCTAAGAGTAATGGAAATTTTATCGCGACCCCCTGAGCATGCCATATAAAAAGTACGTGGCAGTCAAAGTGTTAATTAATAATTACTTAAAACTTACAAGGAAAAGTATAATTTCAATAGAGAAACTAGATTTTTAACAGTCGAAAATTTTTACAGAGTTCCTAAGAATAATAAGACGTAAATATGAAGTATCATCGTTAGCACGGGAAATTTGAAAAAGATTTGAAAAGTTTAAAGAGAAAGCATAGGTTCTTAATGACAGGAAAATTTTATAAAATTTGAAGAGTAGTTAACGAGACATAATTATAAAACCACACTAATATTGTTAACGAAGGATTGAAGAATTCTTTGTATAAAAATAATCTGGAAATTGAATTACGATTAGTAAAATAATAAAAAAAAATTTCAATTAAAAAGCTTCCAAAAATAAGTAAAGAAGAATAATAAAGATTGAAAACCAAGATCTTGGTGATAAAATAATTTATAGAAAACTGCAAAGAATAGTTAAATAAAAGCGATAAGGCGGGAAATTTGAAAAACTTTTCCTGTAAGCATAATTTGAAGGTTAAGTTACTATTATTAATAATGTAAATAAATGTCTTGGTCGATTATCCTTTAAAAATTCGTAAAGTAAAACATAAAGAAAACGAGATAAAAAGCAAGTTTTAATTAAAAATAATTTTTGACGATGTCAATTAATCATTGACGATGTTTAACTCTATAGTAATGCGAGTCAACGCGAGAAATGTAACGAGTGATCATTTTACTCATTGAACCAGTGAAAAAACTGCACCGTTATTTTCATTATTCATTATAGTCATCGATAATGGCCCTTTATCATAGCCAATCCATTGAAGAGGTTCAGATGGTTGCACGACAACGGCAAGCTGTGTTGTAATGTTGATTGGCGACTGATTGCTGCCATTGCTGTCAGGATACTGCAGTTTCCACATGTGAGGTCCATTGCGGTCCGCATAACCGAATGTGAACGAAGGAAGGTTGCATTCGTTCTCAACCCAAGGAAATAATTGGGTCCAATCGAGAACTTCGGTTAGTAACAAAACTGTAACGTATATAGAATAATAAAATAAAGTAGAAAATTTTAAAAATCACCAAATAACACAATACTTAACTTAAATCAAAATTAAAAATTGCTTTATAAAAGTTTCTTAAATTTTGATGTACAATTTTTAATAAAATTTCCCAAAATTTAATAAAATACGTGGAGAATTTAACAAGGTTTAAATCAAAATTAAAAATTGCTTTATAAAAGTTTCTTAAATTTTGATGTACAATTTTTAATAAAATTTCCCAAAATTTAATAAAATACGTGGAGAATTTAACAAGGTTTATAATTGAATTTTGATTGATCTTTGAGTGTACCATTATTATTTACCTCCTTCCTCTTTCTTTTATTTCTATATTTTTATTTAATAAAATTATTATTTTAACATTTATATAAATAATCTAATTATAGTATTATAATTATCTAATTACAAATATCAGTATCATATTACAAAATTCAGTCCAGCTAACTAAAATTGGTTTATTACTGGAATAAAAGAAAAATAAGTTATAAACACAGTTTTTTAGAAGTGAAGCTTATAATTTTTCATCTTACTATACAAATTTTTATGAAAAATTTATTACAGGTCTTCATGATAAGGTTTTTAAACTCTATACATATATATAACAAATTTTTCTACTTTCAATTTCGATTAATTTTCAATTAAAAACTGAAGAATCATGTTTGATTAGTTCTGATCCCATGACAATTAATCTACTACAATTAATTTCGTTGTTAACACTGAACTTAAAAAATTATAATCAACCAAATCAACAAAAATGACTACTTTCAGACTTTTCATTCTCGAAATTATTGACAACCTGTAATTGTTTCATACAAAATTATCCTCGACATTTATTTATATAAAATATTCCTCATCAATTATGATATTATTATATTTCGTATATTAATCGATATTACGTTCCTGTTAAACATAAATGATCAACTTACAAATGAGGAGTACACTGCTGCATAAGATCATGAACTCTGACACTGAAACGTTTATCATTTTCAACAACCCTTACACGATTAATTTTTTCTACGATATATCTCACGTGATATTCACGATCACATAGGATTCTACACATATAGACATACATACACACAAGAATTTCACTTGTAGATTTGAAAAACGTTCATCGAACTAACCTCCTGACTAGTCAGGAGAAATTAATAACCAACGGGATATTGGCTCGATCGATCTGGACGCAACTTCACGCGGAGGCCGTAGTTTAATTGTTCCAAACTCGTTACATACCGATCGATGCTGTCTTATTTCTCGTTGACAGTTTGCAAAATTACATCGTGACGTGCGGGGAAAACGTGCACGAGATTCTATGACTTAGTCAGGTCGTGGAACAGTTAATGTTAAGTCTGGAAGATTGCACGGAGGACGATGATGATATGAAAGAAAATGGAGTGTGCAGGTGAGAATTTTTATTTTCCGCGAATTTTTTAAACCAAGGTCATTGATTGGTGTTATTGTCGAAAGGGGATGGTCGAAAATGGGGTCAGTCCCCAGTCGATATCGATGAAAGCAGTGCAGTCTGGGTAAAGTTTCCTGCGCTTATTATGAGTGGCCATTGGAGTCAAGATGGCGACGCTAAAATGCGAAATATTGGCAGCACAGGTGACTATAGGAAACGTTTATATCGTTTAACAATTTATCGTTTATCGATTTTACTTTATTTCGTGGAATTACGGTTGCAGGGGTGTATCCACGTTGTGGATATATTGGCAATAAAAATTTAACTGCTAAAAGTTACTGCTTTGGTACTGGGACCACGAATCTGTAACATTTATTTAAGTCTGCTATTGTTAGATGAAAATAATCGAAATCGTGTGATGAAAATAATTAGATATCATTTAATCATATTTTCAGCTGAATGAAATTTATTTGTTTAACACTATTTTATTTATTTAACATTTTTATTTATTTAAGTTATTTAACAATTTAATATTTTGTTTACTCCGAATTTTGTTATACTGACAAATATATTCAGCATATATTACATCAGTATACATTTTAAATAGATTATAGGGAATATATATAGTATACTATAATATACTATATGTAATATATTTACTGTCAAAATATAGTATAAATTTTGTCAGAAATTGCTATACATTTTCAGTAAATGTAACAAGAAATAGAAATAAGTCGTTTTTACTTATTTGGTAATTCTAGTGTTAATAACAAAGCATTATCAATTAAACGCTTTCACAAATAAGAAATAATTATTTTCTTCTAACCCTTTACAATCGAAGATTTTTTCGATATAAAGATATAATAATTCGATTGTTATATTTTTATTTCTTAAATTTTTTATTTTTTATTTTTTATTCCGTTGTTATTCTAATATTTTTCTAAACTCTATAATGCCATTTATGTTACGATAGAAAGAGAAAATCACGTGTATTTCATTTCAATATTTCCAATTCCAATTATTTCCAATCTATAAATCTTGTATTTCATGCTTCATGGTGTTAAAACAAACGGTGACTGAGAGCCACCATTCCAGTGCAAAGGGTTATTCTAGGGATATTATAAAATGCATAAAATCAGAATAAAGAAAATGGAAGGGTTACTTTTTTATGAAACTCGAACTGATTTGTAAATTAATTGGGTGTTGGCTAGTTAAAATAACGCTGGAAAGTACTAGGAGCCCAGCAACGATCCGTGGTGGCCCTCTAGGGGACGACGTGTTCGAACTAGATGGCGTGGTGTTTCGTTGGGGTTCGTCGAACTGCAAAGGCGCGGAACACACTCTAAACGGTACATGGTTCACGATGGAAGCGCAAGCCATACATTTCAACAAAAGATACGAAGACATTAACAATTGCTGGGACAAGCACGATGGACTCGCCATATGCTCGTATTTTCTACAGGCTTATCAAGTTCCTGCTTGGGACGAGCACCCGTTGTTCTCCAAAATTACGGACGACTTGCACAGGATTATACAGCCTGACTCGTGCATCAAATTGTCTCCAAGTACGATAAATATTTTTAATTGGTAAAATTTAATGAAATTTTTTAATCGATTATGGGTATTATTTTAATATATAGTGTTACTATTATTTGTAGGAATTTTACTTTATTAGCTCGTTCTTCCTACAAATTGGCTCTATCTCTTCACAAACTGACCAGACGACTACTTAGACCAACCACTCAATAACCAACTTAGTAACTGCTCTTTCTTTGTGTCTTCCAGAACGGGCCTTTTTAACCGTTTGAGTCCCAGAGGGTTTTAAAAAAACACTGTCGAGGTATCCCAAGCAGCGCGATCGCGCTACCTCTAAGTTGGAACGAGTCGACCCAAGCAGCGCGATAGCGCTTCTCCTATTTTATGTCGAGTGTGCCCAAGCGGCGCGATAGCGCTTCGTTTATATTATGACGATGAATGGCCAAGGACAGTTGGTGACGCACCATCAGCTGTCAAGAACGCTCGAAATGTTCTGAGTTTTCTCGACGTGAAATCTGAACAGTGCGATCGCGTTGCTTGGGACTCAAACGATTAAAGCCCGTCCAGAAGACAAACGCCTCCTCGAAGGAGCAGAAACTCCCTCTACCTCAAAGTCAAGGGTGAAGGAGAATCCTCCCTCCGAGTTAGCCTCTCCGAAGGGTCACCTCGCAAGAACCCTTCCCCAGAGGTGACTGCGACCGCGTTACCCTCGCTTTATTTCGGGGAAAGTCGAGATTGCGCGAGGCCACCTCATGTGGCCTGGCCCCAACCTCCTACGGCCCATCTGACAGTTAAGATACTAACGGGTTCTCTACTATGCGTTGCATGAGAGAAGTCATCTCGTTCGATTACGGGGCAAGAGGGGTATTTTACTTGCTCCACCTATACTCTTGTTAGTAATACTCACTCTTCTATGACACTCCCAAAACTACTGTCTCCAAGTTCGGTAACGTGTTACGTTAACATAGGCTTAAGATATCCGCGAAAGAAATGTTATCTCAGAGTTAACTTACAATGAATTGGAAGCACTACTACGCTTTGGGATGAGTCTACGCTCCTGCATCTATTTTCTGCGTCTGTCACTTTGTCTCGTTGCTTCGTTCGCTTTCTTTGTCACATGGTGTTCTATGACCGGGCTAATAGGAAGGGATCAGTTCTGCCAGTAAGGGAAGCGTTTTATTCTACTTCTGCCTTGGTGTTAGAATGGTTGGGCTGATGGGGATTCGGTCTTACAAGTTTCTCAGATGACTTCTCTCATGCAACGCAGAGTAGACCTGAATTCCAGGATAGGACAGTCTATCCTAATAAACGAGCGTCCCTCGTTTACCATTCCTACATATTCAATATTTTTTAATTAAAATATCGTTACTAGATTTTTATGTCTTTAGCTTAAGTTTTTTAAAACGTTGTCGAATTACATTTATTTTTCATAACATATTTACACGATGTATAGGTCATTTTCATGTAATCTTCGTGTGAGAAAATTTCCTGACAAGTGATTTATATATTGTATGTATTTAATATACTTTATTTATTAGGTTCAAGTATATTTGTAGCGTATTATCGATAAAAGCAACGAAATAAAGAAACGATTTGCGAATTTTTGCATATCTTTTATGTCTCCAATCTTTCTTCAAGATATTCGCAAATAAATCAGTGTTTATTGATGTATGTAAATGTAAAATCTCATTTCTCCGTTCTATTATTAAATTTAATATTTGTAAGAGATAAAGTATATAAACAAATTCGCAATTTTGTTAATATGTTTCTAAATAAGTGAAAAAGATAGTAAATAAATAGTAAGAAATGAAATATTATAAATATTAATTATTCGTTTTAATTTCACTAATTTTATTGTAGACTGCTTGTGCTGGATGAGACAAGCTTGCCAAACACCTGGTTATTATTCCTACTTAGGTTCGATAACAACCGACCCGTTTAACGAATGCGCCACTTGGATCGTTTTCCCAGAGCCAGTTAGGATTTCCGAAAATCAGGCACAAATGTTTCGAATGTTACGTAACAGACAAGGCTTGTGCATAACGGATAATCATCGTGAAGTACAAAAATTAAACGGACGTGTGGTTTATTATGTCAATTGAATATCGTGGATCGTGATTTGGGGAAATGAAAATGTTAAAATGACCGAAAGTATTGAGTAAATCTTAATACAGTACATCGTTAAAATATTTGTAAATGGTATATATACATATATATTTAAGAAAAATCTAATGTATGATCTACAAGTATTGAAAATATACAAGATATATTATAATTTGTGAATATTTCAATTGTATCATATATTAATAATAAAAGAATGTAATTATCAATTAATTATTAATTAATTATTAATTAATTTTATACAATATAATGTTTCCTATAATATTAAAATATTAGTTTTATATTTTATTAAATAATTTAGTCTTACATATTATTAAAGTTTTACAGAACTTTATATGTATTCAATTTTATATATATAATATTAAATTCTACATATTATTAAATCATTATTCAATTCTATGTAATATTTAGTTTTATATAGTATTAAATTATTATTCAGTTTTGTGTTCTTCATTTGTCATACAATTTTATGTATTATCAAGTCACTATTATATTTTTCATTCGTAAATTGTTATTAATAATTATATTAACTAATTAATTTATTATATAATTTATTATTATTTACTAATTATATTAACCACATATTATACAATATGCAGCAATCTTCATTGAAAACTCTGAAACATGTAGTCAATCACATAACTAACCTGTATTCTGGTTAAATCCTCACATAACTTTTTGGCTACATACGATAAAAATTTTTAGTGCCATTTTGAAGAAGATTCATTTAAAATTGCACATGAAAAAGATGTTCGCCAGAAGAGAAAAGAAGGCAAGTACGTATAAGTGATCGTACTGTTCAAGCGTGACTTGCATCCATTCAATCGACTTTTGAACTCGTTCCAAGTTGCCAAGCCTAGCACTATATCAACGTCGTCGTCAGGATTACCTAAATGGCGACAATCACCGGTTGATCTCTGCAAGGCAGCCACGTGGAGCCAAAAATTCCCACCACTTTATTTAACCAACTACTGGTCACACGAAGGTACTGCTATGATGACGAATACAGGCAGAACAGGTAACTTCCATATAAAATAATTTTATTTATTGTACCTTTACACTTAAATTAAGTTTAAATTTTAATTAGTCGATTTTTAAATTTAACAGTGTCTTAATAAAATTTAAATTTAGTTATTAAATTATATAGCGTTTTAATCAAATTTGATTCTAATTATCTTTTAACAAGTGTTTTGGTAGAATTTAATTCTAATTATTGAATTTCAATAATGATTCAATTTTGCAATTTAATATTTTTCTTTGATAAGTAGAATAATTTATTCAATATTTTATTATAAATAATCCTTATCACTCTGATTGAAAACAGAAACAGTAATCATAGTGTACAAAGAAAAGTATGATTTATTTCGCAACTCAATACTCAATACTAATTAACTTTACTACCTAACTTAATACTCTACTTTGATAAATAGAATAATTTATTTAATTCTTTATTGTAAATAATATTTATCATAGTGTTGTCATAGCTTTACTACTTAACTCAATACTCTACTTTGATAAATACAATAATTTATTGTAAATAATATTTATCACAGTGATGTCATACTGCTTGAAAGTAACCACTATTCGTCAAAATATAATTAAAGAAATCTTAAATTTTTGTCTACCAACTTTTGCAATCGCAGTATGCCAAAAAATCAACTCTAAAGAGAAAGGAAAATAGTAATTAATTTCAAATATATAATATATCCTTTTCGGCGTGCAAAGGACCAACAATGCTTCGTTTCCAGTCAGCATAGAATTTTCCGATAGAGAGCCGCCATTGCTACGAGGTGGTCCTTTGAACAAAGACGAGTTCCAATTCATGAATGTGCAATTTCGTTGGGGGCCCGAAAACTCGTTGGGAGCTGAACATTCCATAAATGGGATCTGGTTAGAGGATATCTTTTTAAAATCGTTGATACTCGAGCGTCCTGAGGTTACCCACATTCCAAGTAACCTGTTCAATCCAGGTACTCCATGGAGGCACAGATAATGCATTGGAACACTCGTTACGGATCGATGGAGAAGTGCTTCGACAAACCGGATGGAATCATAATACTCTCCACTCTCATGCAAGTACGAATACTTGAGATTAATTCAATCGATTCACGTGTAACATATGGTTGTTTAAACGAGTAGGTGATTGGCTGTCCCGGAGTACCTGATAATCCTTCTCTGACAGCGATTACCGATAACTTGTCGAAGATCAAGAAAATGGGTAGCAGTACCAAGATTTCACCTGGTAATAGAATTTTCTGAAAATGATCGTAATTATTTCTCAGAAGAATTTTAATAATATTTTATTGTCGTTGATATCGCTGGATCGTGTGCATGTAGGTAATTATATGTATAGGTGACCATACATATGAGATTAGATAATCTAATGTTAGATTATCTATAATTAGATATTAATTATAATTGCAGGTATTTAATATAAAGTGATATAAACAATATAATTTACAATAATATTGATATTAATAATAAATAAATATAAATTAATATAAATAACAAAATAAATAATATTATATATATACTAATATTAATAAATAGTACAAAGCAATATTAATAAC